CCCTGCCACTGACCCGCTGCTGTATCAATCCGGGCAGAAGTAAAGACCCGATTCAGCGTATGTCTACAAAAGGTCGGCAGGCAAGTGTGAGGTTGCTCTGCTCTCACACTAAGCTTGACTTGCAGCCACAGGAATATACATGCCTATAAATCAGGGTTTACTAGTTCAGGACAGCACTAATTCCATTTGCAAAGCTTTTGATCAGTTTAGGGTCCAGACAAAGCAAGTGCATGTCTGCTTGAAAAATAACACGCAGACATAATCATTATCACATCAGTCCACGTAGCAAAAAACATGAAGACCTTCTTAGAGCAAATTTTCATTCCAGTGGTAGAAATGCCCGATCCTTATCTGCAAAGGAATGTTCTCCACCTCAGAGCTAGTCTTTTAACAACAGATGCTGCCCTATACTTATTAATTTCTTGAGTAGATGTATCCTAGGGATGAGTCATTATGAAGAAGAAGAAAAAAAAAAAAACCAGAAAAGAATAAGCAATTCATAAGTATTCCTTTGCAATGACATCAACAGCGGTGGAAGCTCTACATAGGTCCCTGAAAGATAACACTGCTGTGCCACAGATATAGAGAGCCCAGCAGTCAAAACGATGCAAGGGGATTCATCTGTTATGTTGCCCTCAACAGTAGGGAAACAAACAAGGAAATTAAAAAAAAAAAGTTCAGTCTTTGGATGAGATTACAGGAAAAATTAGTTTAATTGTAATTACATCCTCTTTCCAATTAGCTGAAGTATGTTTTGTAATCCCAGTGTTTTAAAGGGCACACATGCTTTCAGGGAACACATCAAGCTTGTTTAAACAATAGAGAATAAAACTTATTTTCTCATGCGAAGGTTTTGGTTTTGCCAAATAATTAATTATAACAACGTAAGAATGAACAGTTAAAAGTAAATTTTAAGTAAAATTCAATCAGTGAATCAGTAATAAAAAAATCATAACTAAAGTGATTTTAAAGGTCTGCTTCAGTATTTGTGAATTTTTTTTTTCAATACCAGATATTCTTACCCAAGATTTTTATATACATTCTCAGATGTTCTAATAGGTGTGCTAAAACAGTTAAAGAAATGCAAAAAGTAAAGCAGTAATATTTTAATTGAAGTAGACATTAATTGCAACAGAGAGAAAAACAGTATTTATGCAGTTATTCTAATATGCACAGACTTGCTGTCCATACTTAAGCTTTTCTTATCAGCTACTAGAACAGGAAGTCACAGATCTTCACTTATAAATTTGTCTTGGTTGTTTTCAACTTTTCTATATATTTCTAACTGTGGAAAGAGATGGAAGAATGAGAAGAAGGAGGGGAAAGATATTCCATTTTTTCAGCAGTTAAGGGTGAGGATTTTTTTGCATCGCTAGCAATATCCGGTCCTAGAGGATGTGATAGTGAATAGAAGTTACTCCTGGAGCACTGTTTGTGCTACACAATGTCAGCCTTCCTTTTCTTTATAATATTGAACACTGAACAGCTAGAATAAGTTTTGGATATTTCTATGCTGTCTATTTAGGCATTTCTTTATTTCACATACAGGAGAATAACAAGATGCAATATTACATATTCGCAAGTATTTCTACAACCTTGCTTTCCTCTCTGTCCTCTCTAAGAACAAATAACTGAAGGAAGATACAGGAACTAAAATTTTTTTAAATTAATTTACTGGCTAACTTCATGGAAATGAAGCTAAATGGAGCTAAATTATAATGAGAAACATTTGAAAACATGTTCAAAGGGAAGACTAGAGACATGAGGTTTCTTGGTGGGTAACTACAGAATACTGTCTTTTTAAAAGCAAAACACTGTTTGTACGAGAAAACAGTGGACAGAGATGCTCAGAATCTTCTCTAAAGATGCCAGTATGCACGGCATATTTTAATAGTTACTCAAGAATTCATGTTCTGAGGTATGCACTTGGTTTAGATTATAATAGGCTGTTTTATCTTTCTATCCCATTTTCGTAATGTTTTTTCTTCCTGATACCTTCTTTGTATCACATTGTTTTGACAACTAATAGAGCACGCCTGGACTTGGAGAACTCAACTGGTAACAGCCATCACCAGGAACGGCAACTCCACTGCCTGGACACAGTGCTATGGAGGAGGGGAGATTGGTAGATGGTTCTACATCCCTGAAAGTCTCAAAAGGAGCTGGCTACTGGATTGCAGAGTACATTACAGCAGATGGCATTTTCAGGGATGCAATAAATCCTTCATACTGACAGTTCTCTGTCAGGCTCATCAGGTTCCCAATATTAGGATATGTATCAACTTTATTTTTATCTTACATCTCTGGGTTCGTAAAGAGCATAAAAAAAATTATTTGGAGGAACAATGCACCAAAACCTCTTCAGGGAAACACGCTACTATTTGCAGTGTAATCATCAGCTCCTCAGTATAACCTAGTCTGTGTACCTTTTAAACATAAAGGTTCATATGGAAGCCCTTATACCCATTCTGTCTTGGGAGAGTAGTAGATTGAAATAAACCACTACAGACAAAGAACTAAGATTAAATACATTTTTCTATGTTATAACCTTTTAAATTCCCTGATTTTAGCTCTCCTTTGTCCTCCCTCATGACCTTAACAAAAGAAAAGGAGCAAATGGAAAGCAGGTAAAGAAAAACAATTTTAGTTTAAAAGAAAGAATCCTATGTATCTCATGTATGGAAGAATAACGGGCTCTCTTCTGCCTCAAGTCATTCCTGAGTGAAAGCAGACTGGCCCCTTCATGATCCTTCCAG